CCCTCTGTATGCAGTTTTCAAGGCCCAGACATATTTAGAGACATTTCTTTCCCGAGCAACTACAACCTCGTTGATTATCAGATGCTGCTTTAGGTGGGATGAACAACAGAATCCCTCCTACAGCTTTCACACCTGGGTTACAGATCAGCACAGAAGCATTTCAACTGCCTGGTTGCATTATGCTACTCTGGGGATGTGACCCTGTCACATTTTATAAAGGGAGGGGAGCACCAGGCATGGTCCCTATTTGCACAGAGGAGCCAGAGGACACAGGCCACGGCAGGACATGGTGCTGGGAGATCAGCAGATGGCATACTTTGCTGTGCATTGGCACCAAAGCAGGAGAGTGAAGGGGCAGCAGCATGCTCTGGCAGGTGCACTCGCTCCGGTAAGATGCTGGGTCAAAGAGCTTCAGCATTTGCAGTTGTTCAGCAGAGCAAAGCCCATTCACCTCAGCAGCTCGACCACAGATTCAGCCTGCCTCGGTTGTTGAAGTAATCTTGTTTTCTCGTCAACATCCTTTTTTAGTTCCTGTCTCTTAACAGCAGCATTGCAACAAATGTTGAAGCCCCTCCACCACCACCTCAGGTATGGCTGTGCACGTTAGCGGCAAGTACACTTTTTGTGTGAATAGCACTGCATACCAGTTGGCTGCATGCTATTGTATCCCCTGAGGGTTGTTATGTACACCTCTCACTACAAAATAAGTGGCAAAGACACTTTGGGAGGAGCAGAACTCATGGGGAGAGGTCTATTTTTTATTAGACCAAATGGTATAGCTGTAAAAAAATTGACTCACGTCAAACCACAGGCAGGTATGTTTGCTTTTATGACAACTTGACAGCACACATGCTATACTGTGCAGCAAACAACGAGGACTTTTCCCATCTCTAAATTAGCTCCAGTGTTGAGATATAAAAACCAAAAACCAGCACAGCCTGCAAGGCTGCAATTGTCAGATCTCCCTTTTTCACCACAAAAAAATATTCCCTGAAGGAGATCACAAACAAAAGGGACTCCTGGGTGACAAGTCATGACCTTAGCTTAGTATCTCTACTGATCACCCGCCACTGCCGCTGCATCGCTTCCACGTGTGCATCGCTTCACCATTCACCCATCAGTTTCCTGAAAGTGAATGGGATTAAAAGTCCACTGAGTGTTTGCACTGCTGTTTCCTCCCCCTCTGCAGCAGAATTACAGTAACCAAAAGGTGACCAGAGTTCACCCAGGCACGCACAGGCTTCCTGGCTTTACAGTGCTGACCTTCCCCATCTCTCCCAAACCCCTGGGGGCAGTTTCAGTGCAGAAACAGGCAGCCAGTCGGAAATTTTCATCAGTATTAATGCCAACGTAGTTTCTTCCCAACTGCTCTCCAGAAGTATTTTTCCACCCACGTTCCCCTGTGCACCACAAAACCTTCCAGTCGTTGGCAGCTTCGGGTGCAGCTCCACTGCTGTACACCCAGTGCTGTACAGCTGGTCTGTTTTAATTCAGTGTCTAATTCCTGATACCCAGGAAACGTTCTCATGTGAACAACTTCATATATAGGCACCTACTCGCCAGCAAGCATAGTGGTGGTCGGCATTTAAATGAACTAATCAGTTGCAAACGGCTTAGTCAGCATCGCAGTCCTGGAGGTAATTCCCAGGAAGCGATTTTCCCGGCAGCTATATATACAAACCTGAAAAGCAGACTGGAATACAAGGGCAGCAGCATAGAGAGACAAAATCTGGCTACACTGTAACCTTACCAACGAATAAAAATAAAAGTCAGGGAAAGTCAAGGAACCCAGCAAGCACACAGTATGCTCGCATCACCAGCGTATCCTCTCACATGTAAAAGACAGAAACTCGGACACAGGACGCGAACACAGTCAGCATTCCTTTTTCCTCCTCTTTACTGATGCTGCGCTGGTTTGAACTGAGGGGAAAAATACGGCTAGGCAAGTTCCTGGCTTGTCTGTGGAGGTACACAACACCGGCCAGACGTCGGGCAGCCCCTTTTGGAGAAAGCATCCCAGCCACCGCCCTCAGCAACCAACCCTCTGCGGGAGCCAGGGTCACACGCGACCTGGAGAGGGCTGAGGAGTCGTACAAACTTTGTCTCAGGGAAGGGAGGGCAGCACAGGGCATCTAAGAGGCGCTGGGGAGACAAGGGGCAGTGCCAAGTGCCAGCGCATCCTCCGGCAGCATCTCTGCCGCTGGCCACGTTTGGAAAGCCAGCGGGCTGCGGATGCAGGTCATCAGTCCCCGGGCAAGCAACGCCACGGCTGCAGGACACCGCATCGCCCTTCAACGCCTTCCCACCGGCTCCCTCGGCCAAGGCAGCACCGAGCCAGCCGGCAGCCTCACGGGGGACGGGGGAAGCCACCAACCTGCTCAAAGGAAAGCTGGAGGCTTTCCTCTGGCCACTGAATGCGTATCGCCACACATCTGCACACATCTGCCCAGTGGCCGGAGCCGCCTGCAGCGCCGGGCACGCCGGCATGTCCCTAGGGGACACAAGCACGGGGAAAGGGTCACCGCTCACTTACTTTTCGTATTCGGCGTTGTCTCGATCGCAGCGCGAATCCTTGTGCTTTTGCCAGTCTTTGCCATGCTTGCAGGTGGTCAGGAGGACAACATCCTCTCCGTTATGGACGTGATATAAGGCATTCCTGGTGTCTGACCCTATCCCCGTCAGGTACCTTTTCCCCTTGAATACCAACATGTACTTCCTGAGAGGGGGGATGGTGTTAAACCTCAAAAATCCCTTCTCCCCTCCTGTCCTAGGATGATCCTTAGAAAAGAGTGGGATAGAAACGTCAAAGTTGGGTCTGAAGTTTTCAGTACTGATGCTGGCTTTGGCCAGCATGGCCTGGCCAATGTCGAACCCCACATCCTCGGTGTAGTCGGGCCAGGTGCCGGAGTATAAATTAAAAATCAGGTGGTTTCTGCCGTTGTTCCACAGGTGGAGGCTCTGCACCTTGGAGCGGAGGTTGTGCACGTACTGGGGAGAGAGCTGGTCCCGGTCCAGCGTGTCCAGGCTGAGGACGAAGAGGCAGGCCTGCCCAGGGTCCGAGGTGTAGAAGCGGGAGCCCTCGATAGCGGCCAGGACATTCTGGTAGCTCTCGGCGATCTTCTCCCCCTTCTGCTGCGGGTACACGTAGACCTTGAAGCCGTTTTTCCGGCACTGGGCGAAGTCGAAGCAGGACTCCATGCGGCAGCGGCGCCCGCGGTAGAGGCCGGCGCTGGCGTCCCGCCGCTGCCGGGGGGAGACGCGCCCGCCGCCCTCGGGGCCCGGGCGTTCGGCGGGCGCGAAGGGCCGCAGGGCATCGGGGAAGCGGGGCCAGGGCCGCTCGGCACCACCGGGGCGCGGGCCATGCCGGCTACCGGGCGGCGGGTGCCGGGCCGCCCGCAGCCGCACGCCTCCCAGGTAGAGCAGCAGGGCGAGACAGGTGCCGGCGGAGAGCAGCGTCAGGTAGCGTTTTTTGGCCTGCATGTGTCCGGCGGGGGTCCGGGGGGCTGCGGAGGAAGGCGGGGGCGGCCCGAGCTCGCCGGGCGCCGCTCTCAGCTCCGCTCCGCCATCTTCCCGCCGGCGAGCGCTTCAAACTCTCTTCGCCCACCTCCGCTCGGCGCCGATCCCCAAGCAGCCGGCCGCGGCCGCGCATGTGGGCGACCGCCGCAACTTTCTCGCCGCCGGTGTCTCAGGGGCGGCGGGCGGCGGCCGGGCGGCGGCCCGGCGGGGCGCCCCGCATGCACTCAGGGCCGGCCCCCCGCGCGGGGCGGGCACCGGGCAGCCCTGCTCCCGCCTTCCCGCCGCTGCCGGCGCTCGGCTCCGCCACGCTCCCGCCCGCCCCTCCCGCCCCGCCAGCCCAGCCCAGCCCAGCCCAGCCCGGCCCGGCCCGGCCCGGCCCGCCGGCTCACAGCCCGCGGCCGCCGCGCCGCAGCCTGACGAAGCCCCGCATCGCCCGGAGCCCCCGCCCGGCCCCGGCGCCGCTCGCTCCTCGCCTCGCTCCTGCTGAATGGCCCCCGGGACGGAGCGGCGGCGGCGGCGGCGAGGACCCTCCTCCTCTTCCTCCTCCCTCTCCTGCTCGCCCCTCCCTCCTTCCCCGCCTCCCCGGGCCGTGGCCGCCGCGGCCGCCGAGCCCGCGCCCGCTCCGCCCGCTCCGCCCGTCTCCGCCCGCCGGGGCCGCGACCCCCGCCCGCCGCGCCCGGCCCGCGCCGCCCCCGCCCCGCGCGCTGACCTCACCCCGCCGCGCTCCCCGCGCACCCATTGGCGGGCGTCACGTCCGGGGGGGCGGGGCTTCCGCCGCGCCCATTCATAACCCGCGGGCGGGGGGCGCTGCCGCCGGGCTGGGTTTGTGAGCGGGGCTCGCTGTGGGCGGCGCCGGGACCGGAGCGCTCCGTGCAGAGCCCGCGGGCCGGCACTCAGCGAGCCCCGGCCCAGCGCCAGGGCCGCCCTTCGCTCCAGGTCCGCTCCGCCTCCTCGCCGGTGCAGCCCCCGGCCGGGGGCGGCCCGACTCCGGTCTCTGCCAGCGGTGCCGGCGCCGCCGCTGCCGCCCCCTGCCGAGCGCGGCGCCGCCGCTGTGCTGGAGCCGCCCGGGGCTCGGCTGCACGCTGGGGAGCGGGCACGGAACCGTGGCTGAGACCCAGAAGCTCAGCCCCGCGGGGCCTGGGCACTGCCGCCCTGTGTGGCGCGGGCAGGGCCGGGAGCCGCGGCCGCTCTGCCCGGCGAGGAAGGCAGGGAGAGCGGGGGACGCGGCTCCGCTGCCCGTGCCGGGGCTCCCGGCGCTTCCACTGTCGCCAGCCCTGGCCGAGGTGCTTGGCTCGGTGTCCCCCGAGAGCAGGCCCTGCGCCCCCCCGGGGGCGGCTCCTCGGGGCTGGCAGGCGGTGGAACGATGCTGATGAGCGAGGGGTCTGTAGGGAGCTGCCTCAGTACCCAACATCCCTGCAGCGACGTGTTTGTGCCGAACCTCAGCCGCTCCTGGGCGTTCAGTTCATCGCCAGCAGCCTCTGTTCGTAGGAGAGCCTTCATCTCCCAGGCTGGAGAGGGGGACAGGAGTGCAGCTGGGAGGGGTGATTGCACGGCGAGTGAGCGTATGTGTTACAGTCCTGCTAGCTCAGCAAATAATAGTGGGGAAATTAACTGCGATGGGCTTCAAGGTGCTTGCACAAGATCCTGGATACCAAGAAACTATCCCAACCTGTCCCAGTGTCCTTTCCTTGTTACTTATATCCAGCACTAAAACTGTAACGGATTTGCCTTTCCTGGGTTGCAATCCCCTTCTGCTGCCAGATGCAGAGGGGTCTTATGCGACCTGAGGGACAGAAACTCCATATTGGCCAAAAGCTTCCCCATATCTGTGCTCTTCCATGGCTGTCCTAGGAATGAACTGAGGCTCCTATTGTGTCCTTTCCTCTTCTCCCTGCTCTTAATGCTGAATTGAGGAGGAGAAATGTGAGGTAATGTGTGTGAAGGCAGTGTACCTCTTCAGTGAAAGAGGTGAGAGCCTACTAGGGAAGGGTGCTTAACTGATAGAAAATGAGGGTCAATCCTGTAGTTGGAGCCAAGAGAAGACAATTCCCTTCCAAAATAATTTGATTGTAAGGAGGACTATTGAAGGAAGAAGTTGGGAATAATAAGAAAGATTCTGAGAAGAAAGTCATATGTACGGCCAGTGTAGATTTAGGTACAAGGGGTAGAAGTTTTGGACAATGACTTAAGTCGAGAAGTGGGATTAAATATTCATCTATTTGTTAACCCTGTAATCCTCTGAAACATTTGTCACAGCCCACGTACAAGAACTGGGATGCTGTTCAGGAAAAAAAAGAGGTCAGCTTCTTGAAAGGTGAACCAAGGCTGCTCACAGAGGCACCTTCTGTCAGGCGCAGGAAGGTGGAATCCCATTACTGTCTGCAAATTAAGCCACTGGGGACCAGTTTCAAACAGAAAAGGAAGGCTGTGAGCTTTGCTGCCTGTGCCAAGGACAGTAGCTGTTACAAATAGGTTTTGAGGATGGGGTGATCATGAGCCTGTGATACCAAAACGCTCCTTCCCCCAGTAGGGAAGTGTAGAAGGGAAGTGAAAGCTATCGGGTTTCCAGCTGAACTGCCCTGCACTTGAGGTACCCGAGCTGTTGCCCACTTCACAGCACCAGTGAATACTTCAGCTTTAAAATATTTGGATCTGGAAAAAGGCAGTGAGGTTGTCATTTTAGACCACAGAGAAATAAATCTCTGCAGATCACTGCTACCAGGCTTTATCCATAGGATTCCTGAGTTGTGGCATGATTGCCCCAGAGAGATCTGGGTCCTGTTGTGGCAGGCAAGACCTACTTAGGGAGGTGTGTGCATGCCTGTAACTGGGTAGAGAGTGGCTATGGGGATCACTTGCCTTTTTGAAGACCTTTCTAAGCCATCACCCACTGTTTGTAATTTTCCTATGTAACAGACTGAAATCAGCCTGGCTCCAGCCCATTTCATTGCGGCTGCTTGGGCGCTGTGGGCAATGTGGCAGGCGGCAGGAATCACACAGCTTGCCTTTGGCTCTTCAGCTGGATACTTATGCACAGCCTGGGCAGGAGCTAGAGACAGAGTGCTCCAGAAATGGAAGCCTACCTTTCTCTGTGGTAATAAATATGTCTGCATCTGCTACCAGGCAGGTAGATGGTGGAGCACAAACCAGTGTATAACTCATATCATGCCTGGAGAAAAGGAAGATTCTGTGGTGAAAGGGTATTTCAGTGTATCCACGTGGCAAGTACATAAGTCACCACCCACAGGTTTGCTCTGGTCAGTGCTGCCTGCTAAGGATCTGCAAGGTTGCAGGTGCCTTTTGACCCTGGTTCGTTACCCTTTGCACTCTTCCAAATAATTTATATCTTCGTATGTCTGGCAGTTGTTTGGGAACCTGTCCAAGCCTTCAAATGAAAGGCCAGGAGAGGGAATTGGTTTTCTATTTCTGGCTTTGCAACTTAACACCTGCCTAATCTGTGGCAAGTCACTTGGGGCCAAAATCTTACAGAGGTGAGTTAGTGTGTACTCCTCATTTTGAGTCTTTCTCTTGGTGTCCACCTGTAGCTTGATATGCTTTCAGAATTTAATCCTCAGTGTTCCTGTCTCAGTTGCCACTTAAATCTTGTGGTACCTTCCTCTTTTTTAATGTGAAAAACTTCCTGCTGCTTGGCCCACTTGGATGAGTGTTAGTTTTGATGCTGTTGAGTAATGCCCTTGACCGGACGTTGGATATTTCTCTATCATCAGGTTTAAACCTGAATGTAAAAACTTGCTCCTTGGATTGAAATCCATTCAAAACGTAAGAGGAAAATGCTGAAATGCTCTCACTTGTTCACCTGTCCCAACCTCCCCTCATCTTTATTTTTTATTCTGCTAACTCTGTGCTTAAGGTGTTTCCCCAAGTAAGGGACCTAGAATCACCTGCATGCCTTCCAGGAGAGCATCCTCCCAGAACGGGTGAAGTGGAACTCCCCCTCCCGAGACTGGCTTTTTATAGGTAACTACCTGGGGCAATCACCCTATTAGATTACCTGTGGGCCTCACATTTCCAACTAAATGGGCTCGATAATGCTTTCTTGGCTAATAGGACTGCTCGAGAGCTGATTTATCACCATTGTCAAGTGTGACATGGTCCTAGGGAAAAAAAGCGACATAAAACCAGAGTGGAGCTAAGACGTTTGGAAGGACTTATTGACAGGCACATGTACATTTAAAAATTGTTACTCTGTTTTGCTTAATGAGCTCAAACCCCCATTCTTTGTGCCACAGTGTGCTTTTCCATAGTGAAGTGCAACAAGGACTTCCAAAGAGCTGAGGCAAAACCTTGCAGAGCTGGCAGCCTGGAGCTCCAGGCTCGGCTTTGTGCTTGTGAGCCTGGTTTCCACTGAGGTCCTGCAGATGCCACTTTGGTTTGGATGATTATACGCAGACTGAAGAGTAAAGCTTTTAACAGAAGTCATCACCTAAAGGCTGGAGGAGAGGATCCAACTCCTGTGTGATGTTTGCCTCCCAGGGACCTTCCTGGCTCCCACCAGAAGGTGAGCAAAGCCAGTGTTCTCCTTTTGTTGAGTAATGACAAGACCAGGTTAAACTTTGGAAAGCATTTTTTGAAGCCCACTCACCAGTCTGGAAAGACTTAAGGCTGGCTTACAAACTGTCTCTGCCTTCAAATAGCCCTTGGCCAGAGTTGTGTTGCTTTATCATTAATAAAAAAAAAAAAAAAAAAAAAAAAAGAAAGAAGGGAGAAAGGAGGGAAAGACAGAACAGACTTTCAAATAGTTGTGGAATGGTAATACTCTGTTAAAATTATTCCTCATCTTGGAGCAAATTAAAATGATCTTTGCTTCACAAATTAAGACTAATGCTGTGGTTGTTTATCATGTCTTGGTAATATCACAAGGGAATAAAAATATCAAGTCTTATCCGTTGAAATAGCAGATATGTAACTGTTCAAGCTTTGACGTTGCAACAGCTGTTTCTCATGTCCTCGGAAATAACTGGCTGTTACAGAGGCTGTTTAAATGTGAGAAAATCAGTGGGTTTATAATTAGTTTATTTTTAAGGAAAAACATAACTGCCCTTTGCTAAGAAGGTGAGAGTTTCAGGTGGGATGGAGGGATAGCAGTGTAGGCACCTGATTTACTGTGACATTAAACAAATAGTAAAACCAGAGACTTATAAATATTAAGATCTTAATCTCACAGCAGAGCTCTGCTGGGGAAAGCCAGAGACAAACAAGGCTTTGCCTGTAACTCGCTCTAGGGTCGGTGTCCTGGTGTGCTATGTTACAGAAGTGGGATGACTGTGCTGAGTGGGTCTGAATACAAGCAGCTGGCTCTGACAGTAGCTTTGCATGAGATTCATCGGAGGACTTAGCACTCTGTGGCTATTTTGAGTGCAGTCAATTCATAAAACTCTCTCTTTGGGTGCAGCCTAATTTGGAAACACCTTAAATCTAAGAACATCTAATGTGGTGGGGTTGGGAAAGCTCCTGGGCTGCCTGAATACCTGCTCTCAGGTGTGACCAGCATTGCAGGTAGCTTGGGGGTGACCAGCAGTGAGGTCCCCAGGTCCTAGCTGGCTCTCCCTGCACAGAGCCGGTGGCCCAGTTCCACACTTGAGTACAGCTTTTCACTTCATAGTCTCTGGGAAGACACTTGGCCAGCAACTGCTCTGGGGAAGGGAGTCACCCTACATTGTCCTGTTGGGCAGGAGGGCTGGCAAAGAGGGAGTGAGACACGGGACATGGGCACTGGGAGGATGGCCAGGTGGTGGGCAGCATCCTGCCAGAAGCCCTGCAGAGGTGCTGTGCCATGGGTTACATCTCCACCACCAGTTTTGGGAAAGAGTTGGCAAATGCTTTCACTTTGTGAGCAAGTTCGTGGCTGGGAGTCCCTAAGGAGGGGAAAGGGAGGCATTGAATGACTGCACGTGATGCTACTCTATCCCCAGTATTTCCTAAGGGCTTTTTTAATTAGTGCTCTGCCTATTGCTTTGCCTGGCATGTCCCTGCATTTTGCTGGTTGTTCCCTCCCCTCCTGTGCTGGATGGGGAGCACGTGGGGGCTTGTGCAGCCTGTAAGGCGTCTGCATGTAGCCAGCTGGGCTTTGGCCCCAAGCCTCACTGGGACAAAGGGTCGGCTCCGAGGGCTCCTCAGACACGAGCCACAGGGCTCTTTCCTGCAGCGTGTGTTTTCTCTGCAGGCTGCCTAATAAAAACTGTTTCACAGCAAAGGCAGGCTGGCGGAGGGAAAGCTCTTAGGCGGGTGCTATCCCCGAGAGCACCGGCAGTCTTAGCAAAGCCTATTTATTGGTGCTTCTTTCTTTGAGGAGTAATAACTTCCAGATTTACTCCCTTTTTAACTGAGCATATTTCAAAGTGGGTGTAGAACTATTTAAATAGCTTCTGTGGAGGTGGGATGAGAAATTGCTCTTATTCCGTAGTCTGCAATCAGCACCAAACAAGCACTTTTCTCCACTGCACACACAAACAGGCAAGTATCTGCCAGCAGCCTCAGCACTTTAGATCTGATTTTCTGCCTGCTGGTGTAAGACACAAGGAATTCCACTAACATCAACAGAGTTCCAATAGTGTAGTTTTATTTTATTTTAAATACAGCTAAATCTCTGTATTTTTTTTTACCCCGGGGACTTCTCAGTGACTGTGCTTCAGGAGATGAACCCCTACCCCAGTGCATGGGTAGTGCAGACCTGCTACAGCCCTTGCTGCCCAGCATAGCTGGGCCATGGCATGGTTCTGCACAGCCCTTCACCTGGGTTTTGGACAGATCGAGGAACAGCTCTGTGACCCACGTCTTCCCAGACAGCCAAACGCATCCTGTTGCACCAGGGAGAGAGGAGGAACCTCTTCCCTGGAGGAGGTGGAGGCTACAGGTGTTCTTGGGATGCTCTCTTGGGACATCTGAACTTGGGCCCTTTGTTTTGCCTGTTCACCTATGGAAAGAGCCTCAAATATAAGTGCTGGTGGAATAGACCCAGTGAAGGATAAAGAGTGCAAGGCCCCAGACTCTCTGCTTGGATGGAGCAGGAATGCTATGAGGAGCAAAGAGTACTAAGGAGACCCAGGACTTCAGAGTTGGTAGAGTAAGAGGAGAAGCAGCCTCCCTGGTGGCTTCCAGAGAGACCTCCTTCCCTACCAAGTGGAAGTGTAACCACTCACCCCAAAAATCCCCAGCAAAAGTTTGGGTCCTTGCTAAGCCAGTTCTGTAACTGGCAGTCTGTGTATTTTCGTGCATGGCTTTTTTTCCTTTTGGTGCAAACATGGGTGGCAATCTGATTAGCTTATGATTCATGATTTGGCTAATGTCCCTACTTCCCCCAGTCCCCACCTGTTCAAATAACTACTACTGTAATGTAGGCTGTTAACTTGAAATAACTTTTCCAACTCCTTTGGTAAATGAGTTCTGGAAGCTGCTTTAAATCTCATCCAGGAGCAGAAGTTGTAATAATTTACCTTAAATGCTTTTAAAACCAAATCAACCTGGTACGAAACTCTATGTGAGCATTTAGGAAGAAACAAGTTCACTTTGAGCTGTTCTTCATCAACTAATGCTGTGATCAGACATGCTGTTCCGGGAGAGCCTGGTTTCCAGCCCCTGCTGCTCAGCCCTGCCTCTTGCCAAAGGCCATCCCCTCCCCAGCTCTGCCATACAGAAATACTGCTTTTCACCCAGTCCTGACAGCAGGAGCCAGGTGAGCAAACCCTCTTGTTCAAGGAGTCACAGCTGATCTGGAATATTGTGCTGGAGCAGGGTGAAGAGAGGCTGTTCTACGTAGTTTTACTGCCAGACCTCAACAGAGCAGAGGGAAAGCCTACACAAACAGCCATGCTGGGTTGAGGTTGGTGACTTGAGCCAGCTCTGCTACAGTCACATCAGCGAGCCGGGCATCGCACCTTTGGTCACCTGGTCCAGTGCCCACCACTCACCACTGTAGTTAACCCTGCCCGAGTGGGTTACAGCAGTGGTTCCATGTGCCCTTTGCACCAGTTCAAACAGATCAATCAGGTTCAGAGCAACTTCCCAAAAGCCCTAAATTATGTAAGTGATACAGTGCAAAAAAAGAAAAAAAAAAAAAGGAAATACTGTTACTGAACTCACTCAACAGAGGACTGATTTGTTCTGTTCCTCAGCTGGCACAAAAAAGTTTTGAAGCACGTGTATTTCAGCCTCTATGCTTATAACCCTTGGGAAAACCATTAGGCAAATTCTGACCTCATCCAGTCCTCCTCTTGCCATGAGTTCTTCTGCAGTTCACCTGCCTCATTCCCTGCACAACTCTGAGGTGCTGGTTTGGTGCACTGTAGTGTGTTACCTCTTGCTTCCTCCACTGCAATGGATGTCTAATCCATCACCCTTCTCTGGTGGCAGGTCAGTAGGCTGGGGTTTGCATGAGGCACCCCTTGCCATGGGCACAGTACACAGCCTCTGGGCCTTCCAAAACCAAGTTGATGGCAGCAGGGAGAGGAGCAGTTGTGGGGCCATGCTGCTGCAGTCAGCATCTAGATTTTGCACCAGGGGAGGTAGATGCTTTGCCTGTGGGTAAAAGTAGTAAGTTCACCATGAAGTGCCTCTCCACAGGTGGTGTGCTGATTTCACCCATGGCAAACAGCATTAATATAATACATCAAAGCTGGCTGCACTAATAGCAAACCAAGGGAAAGGATTTGCTATACATGCTAGCTACTTTTCAAATGCAAATGTCTGTTTTAAATCAGATTAAGACAGAAGGAAGCCTAGAGAATGCCAATAATTAATACATGATAAAGAAATAAACATCCAGGGCATCAAAAGGTAAAATGCAATCACAAAGATGAAAGCAATCCATCTGCTCCACGCAGCCTGCTCTGCTGCATGGAGTAAGTGGGTGTGAGTCCCCATCCCCATTTCCATAGGTAGGTGGTGAGTGTAAACCCGAAGCATCTGCTGAGGAAATAAGATTCTTTAAGTTCAGCCAGGGAAGTGGAGAATCCTTGTGCTGGGCTGGCCTGAGCTCAGCTCTCCAGGCTCCCCAGGTTCTGTGAGCCATGCTGCCGTGGAGAGGGAACCTTTAGCAATCACTTCTATTCACTGCCATGACCTCAGTCCCTTCAGGGTGTGCACAGCTGGCTTCTGTGGCATTAAACCAAGGAGATAGATGGTGTTTGGGATCCCCACTAAGCCTTGAGTGGGCCTCAGAAATATTTTGCCCTGGGTTCCTGTCTCCTCTTTCACACTTGAAAAGTACACCAACCTCTCTTTCTTTCCCCTCAGTTCCCCAGACCTGCACATTGACTTACAGCTGGGATTACAGCAGAACACATCTCCTCAACATTCAGTCTCAGAAGAAGAGAAATAGGAAACCTGAGGGAAAATGGTAACAGAATCTAACCCCCTTTCATACTTTTTTCAATTCACACGGTGCTGGCATCGGATCCTGGCAGTGCCCTGTGCTTCCCTCTTCAGCTGTTATTGGAACAGCAGCACTTAACTCTGGCTTTGCTAAGCTCACACAGGGCACCAGACTGTATCAGGCTTTGCATTTCAATGGTATCAGAGTTCAGCAGGCCCAACTAGCCCACAGTCCTTGTACTGGGTGAGCTTCACTGAAGGCAGATAGACATCACTGTTAATGTTTGGAAGCTGCTGCTTAGCAGTGAGCTCAGAGGTGAGCTGCAACAGAGAAGTCCTGTGGCTACTGGTTTCACTGGCTGGTCTGTGTACCAGTCCCTGGATTTGGAGAGTACTTGATCTCATCAAGTGCTTTTTATTTTCAACCCTAGATACCAGAAAAGAAACAGAAGTCTCTTCCCAGACCTCTTAGGAGTTGTGTTGCTGAGTTAAATGTTTGCAAAGCCCCTAATACACAGGGCTTAAAAATCAAATCATGGAACTACAGAATCATAGAATAGTATCAACCAGGTTGGAAAAGATGTCTGAGATCATCTAGTCCAACCCTTGATCCAACACTGCCATGGTTATTAGACCATGGCACTAAGGGGCCACATCCAGTCTCATCTTAAAAGCCTCCAGGGACAGTGAATCCACCACTTCCCTGGGCAGCCCATTCCAATGTCTGATTACTTTCTCTGTAAAAAATTTCTTCCTAATATCCAACCTAAACCTCCCCTGGCAGAGCTTAAGACCTTGCCATCTTGGTTTGGGATGGAAGGGACCTTCCACAAGCTCAAAGCCCCATCCAAATTGACCTTAAACATTTCCAGGGATGGAGCATCACAACTTCTCTAGGTGACTACTTCCATTATCTCACCATCCTCACAGTAAAGACTTTCTTCCCACTATCTGTATTGGTTTTGAGGGGGGCTATAGAGGTGGCTTCTCTGAGAAGCTGCTGGAAGCTCTCCCATGTCTGGCAAAGCCAATGCCAGGCAACTCCAGGATGGACCTGCCACTGGCCAAGGCCAAGCCCATGAGCCTCTGTGATAACATATTTTAGAAGGGCAACAAAAAAGTTATTGCACAGCAGTAACTACAGCCAGGGAAGAGAGAAGTGAGAATATGTGAGAGAAACAGCCTTGCAGACACCAAAAAAGGAGGGCAGGAGGTGCTCCAGGTGGCAGAAGCAGAGATTCCCCTGCAGTCTGTGGTGCAGACCATGTTCAGGCAGGTTGTACCCCTGCAGCCCATGTTGGTCCATGAGGGTGCAGAAATCTACTTGCAGTCCACGGAGTTCCCCATGCCAGAGCAGGTGGATGCCCAAAGAAGACTGTGATTCCATGGCAAGCCTGTGCTGGAACAGGCTCCTGTCAGGAGAGAGACCCCATGGAAAGAAGAATCCACACTGGAGCAGGTTTGCTGGTAGGACTTGCAACCCTGTGGGAAACTGAGATTGGAGCAGCCTGCTCCTGAAGGACTGACCCCTGTGAAAGGAACCCATGTTGAAGCAGTTTGTGGAGAACTGCAGCCCGTGGGAAAGACTCACGTTGGAGAAGTTCATGGAAGACTGTGGAAGGGAACCCATGCTGGAGCAGGGAAAGGACTCCTTTCTCTGAGGAGGAAGGATTGGCAGGAAAAACATGTGATGAACTGACCATAACCCCCCTCTCCTGTCTCCCTGCACTGCTGGGGGTAAAGAGGTAGAGAATGGGGAATAAAGTTAAGCCTGAGAAGGGGGGGTGGGGAGGGGCAGGGAAAGGTTTTTTAAGAACTGGTTTACTTCTCATTACCCTACCTGGATTTTGATTGGTAAGAAATTCAACTAACTTCCCCAAGTTGAGTCTGTTTTGCCCATGATGGTACTTGCTGAATGATCTCTCCCTGTTGTTATTTCACAGAATCATGGAATCACAGAATATGCCGAGTTGGAAGGGACCCAGAAGGATCATCAAGTCCAACTCCTGGCCCTGCACAGAACCATCCCAAAGAGTCACACCAAGTGCATGAGAGTATCTTCCAAACACTTCTTGAACTCTGTCAGGCTTGGTGCTGTGACCACTTCCCTGGAGAGCCTGTTCAGTGCCCAACCACCCTCTGGGTGAAGAACCTCTTTCTAATATCCAGATCTAAACCTCTCCTGACACAACTTCAGGCCATTCCCTTGGGTCCTGTCACTGGTCACCACAGAGAAGAGATCAGTGCCTGCCCGTCCTCTTCCCCTCACTAGGAAGTTGTTACTGCAATGAGGTCTCCCCTCAGTCTCCTCCAGGCTGAACAGACCAAGTGCCCTCAGCCACTCCTCACATGGCTTCCCCTCAAGGCCCTGCACCATCTTCATTGCCCTCTTTGGACTCTCTCTAACAGTTTAATATCTTTCTTATATTGTGATGACCAACACTGCACACAATATTCAAGGTGAGGCTGCCCCAGTGCAGAGCAGAGAGGGTCAATCCCCTCCCTTGGCTGGCTGGCAATGCTTTGCCTGATGCAACCCATGAGCCTTTTATTATATTTTCGCTCCCCTGTCCGGGGGAGGAGAAGAATCATAGAGCGGCTTTGGTGGGCACCTGGCATCCAGCCCAGGTCCAATCACCACATATCTAATCTAAATCTACCAGTTTTTCAATTTAAAACCATTACCCCTTGTTCTGTCACTATAGGCTCTGGTAAAAAGTCTCTGTCTTTCTTATGAAACTCCTTTAGGCACTGGAAGGCTGCTGAGAGGTCTCCCTGGAGCCTTATCTAGGCTGAACAGCCCAACTCTCTCATCCTGTCTTCAAAAGAGAGGTGCACCACTCTCTTCTGTTCATCTTCGTGACCCTCCTCTGTACTTTCTCCAACAAGTCCATGCCTTTCCATTACCTGAGATCTCACAGCTGGATGCAATACTCCAGGTGAGGTCTTATAAGAGCAGAATAGAAGGGGAGCATTGCCGCCTACATCACCTGATGGCCACACTTCTTATGTAGCCCAGGATACAATTTACTTTGGCACACTTTGCCAGCTTGTAATCACTGCAAATAATGACACACTGAAGAGTGAGGATACTCTGGGATCCTCTTTCACACTGTGACCTTCATATGGACAAGACCCTCTCACTGGGCCTTGGAAGCCCAGGAACATACTCCTTTAAAAATAAACTGAAGAAATCATGAGCTTCCCACAAGCCTCTTTTATGTTTCTCTTTCTTTCTCATCTTCGTTCAAACCCCATGTTAGGCTGAAAGGAGCCCCAGGCACGACCACAGTGTGGACAGATGGACAGTGTGAGCAGCTGGCCCTTCCCACCTGACACGGCAGGGATGGAGGTTACTGCCTCCATCACCCGCTGATGGATCTGTGCTTGCTGCCAGCAGAAGCAAAGGCAGTTCCAGTCATTTTGGGAGAAAAGCCCTCTGCAGCCTAGAATGGCCATGCCATCATGCAACTGGAGAATCATTTAGGTTGGAAAAGACCTCTAGGATCATCAGGTCCAAGTGTTAACTGAGGACTGACAAGTTCACCCCTAAACCATGTCCCTAAGTGCCACATCTACACATCTTTTAAATACCTCCAGGGGTGATGAATCCACCACTTCCCTGGGTAGCCTGTTCCACTGCTTGACAGCCCTTTCAGTGAAGAAAGTTTTCCTGATATCCAATCTAAACCTCCCCTGGCACAACTTGAGGCTATTTCCTCTTGTCCTGTCACTTATCACTTGGGAGAAGGTGGTTGCAGAGAGCGATGCGGTTACTCCTGAGCCTCCTCTTCTCCAGGCTGAACAAAGTGACCTGAGCCACTTCTTATAAGACTTGTGCTCCAGACCCTACACCACCTTCTTTGCCCTTCTCTGGACATACTTCAGCTCCTCAATGTCCTTCTTGTAATGAGGGGCCCAAAACTGAACCCAGGATTCAAGCTGCAGCCTCACCAGTGCTGAGTACAGGGGAACAATCACTGCCCTGGTCCTGCTGGTCACACTATTTCTGATACAAGCCAGGATGCCATTGGACTTCTTGGCTACCTAGGCTGTCTCATTCTCAGTTGCTATCAAACAGCACTCCCAGTCCTTTCCCACTGGACAGCTTTCCAGCCACTCTGTCCCAAGCCTGGATTATTGCATGTAGTAATCCAAGTGCATCACCACACAGCTACAAGGGCCCATGCTTTACTGCACTAGGGTACATCACCATTATTATCTTACCTTAGAGCATCCTCCAGGTACCTCCTGGATGTCCCTTCAGTGCAAATGGAAAGCCTTACAGCACAGACTGGGCCTTTCACAGGTGTGGAAGGAACAGATTCCCAAAAGTGAGGTCTCTCATTGACTGGGCTTTACATTGAGCTCCATAAATTCAGCAATCATTGCTGGCATAAAAATCAGAGAATCACAGGATGACTGAGGTTGAAAAGGACCTCTGGAGGGCATCTGGTCCAGTCCTCCCACTTGAGTAGAGTCATCTGCAGATTATAAAGTAAGAGATGTACAGTCAGTGCCTGTGGTGGTTGGGCTCTTAACCACAGGTAATGACAAAAATTGAGCCAACCCCCACTGGTTGATACTCTCCCACTCAACCAGTGGGATCAATCAGAGGGACTGAACAACAGCCAATAAGTCCTTGTCTAGCCCTTCCTCACTGCAGAGAACCCTGGCAAGTATGCAGATCCAGATGTGATGGTACCATCTCTGCTCTCCAGGTTGCATGAAGAGGAGATGCCAGTGCCACTGGCGCTGATGTAACAGCACACATTACTGCCTTTCCTCCAGCAACTTTGTCCTGCAGAGGCCGGTGGAGCAGCCAGCAATGCCTGCAGTTATCTTTTGGAAGACAAGCTGGGCCAGCAGAGAGGACAGTCCTTTGGATTTCTAAGCAAGAAGAATATATCCCCTCAACCACTGGTTATTTAGGCTTGACCATACCCCTGTTGACACTATCAAAGCCTTCTGGCAGATTGCAGATGTCAGCATGGACTCTGATCTTTGGCTGCTGCCCAGAGAAAATTATTAATCACTTTGACAAGCACTGTCCTAAGCAAGTAAGCAAGTCTAAACAAGTAGTGCTCCAGTGTCAGGATTACAGGTAGTATTAAAGCTGTGAAAGGTCTGAATTTCCATTGTGGCCTCAGGACCCCAAAGGTTTGATCTGAATAATGAATGCAATCACCATGAGCAAATATTGTAGAAATGCTTACCAGCCTAGGTCAAAGGGATGTCTGAGATGGGAATTACCCAGGAGTGGTGCTGAGGCAAATGCTGCTTCTAATACCTGCATATACTCACAGTTATAGGAACCAGGAGAGGTGTAGGTGATTACCACGTGCTGGACTAATCACACACAAACCTTTACCTGTGTGTGTGTAGGAGAAAAGGACCTTTTGAGATCTGTTACCACTTTTGCCCTTGATTTCAACAGAACTAAAATACCACTTTGACAATTCCCACCAAGGGCTAGGCTGCTGTAAGGAGCAGCCAGCCCCACTCCCTGCTGGCCTTGCTGTTGAAGCCTATATGGCTTCACAAGACATTCTAATCTTAAACACCAGCACTTATCAATTCTGATACTATTAAGATAGTAGGGCTTTCTTTAGTGGGGAAAGAAACCAGCAGATTCTGTTGAATTGGGGGATCTAACTTCACAAGCAATGAACTTTTCCTGTTTTTCCTGTAATTTTCATGACCAGAGGTAATGAGCTGGATTTCACAGGATTTTAGGTTCCGATTGGGCTTCCATCACAGGCAAAGGTGATATTTGCAGGTTGAAGTACAGCCTTTGTTTACTTTAGTGCCACATCTCCCAGCAGCTTCAACTAGGAAAGAGTTTTGTCCTTGCTGTCTTTCACTGGCAGGGCTTTTGTTCCCATGGTCAAATCAATAACCTTCCCGTTCACCTCTGTCCCCACGGCGTGTTGTGGGGCAGCATCCTTGCTTTGCTCCCTCTCAGAAACAACCACTTGTTCAAGTTGATTTCTGCCCTAAACAATATTTCTTCTTGCAACTTAATTTTTATTTATTGCCTAAAATTCCAGATTAAATGCCATCTCCTAGCAACTGATATATTTTTGTCCCTAGTCTGCTAACTTTCAGTGTTTGGATATTGCTCTCTGTTCATTTTGCTGCCTCAGACAGAAAACACTAGTTTCCAGATACCTAGTGGTATGTACATTTGTTAAACTTCTAAACAGTTGAGTCAGTTAAACAGCTGGCTTTATATCCACCTATTTGTTGACTTGATAGATGTACTCTGGAGATACAAAAGAAGTACACAGTGTAATCTTCCTGTTTGGTGCATCTTTACAAAAGGGTGACATGGGGCAGGAGCTGCGTTGTCAGGAGTGCCTCACCTGAGGTGTTTCAGGATGGGGCTCCTTTTCCCACTGTGCACACCCTTGACATTTCTTGACATGTTAAAGAAGCACTGAGAAATAAGCTTACTACCTCTGCAGATGAACCACATGTCCTCCTACCAAGCCATGGCAAAAGCCCACGTTGGCTCTCAAGAGGAAGACAAAGCTGAGTTATGCTCACAGTGAACCTTACATGGACTTCACATTAAAAATGAGCCATTTTTCTGGCTGTTCAGCTCAGATTCTGCAGTGTGGCTTTTAAACATGTGTGTGGAGAGACATTTGCTGCTTTTATCCTTGTTGGTAGTATGGCAAGAGCTCAGCATACTTCAAAGAAGGGCTCATGCATCAATCCAGGTATCTCATTGGAAGTTCTCAAAATTAACTTTAGTAAAGTACAGTCTCTATCTGACCTTGCTCTGATGGTTAGCAGAGGGAAACAGCAGCTTTTAGGGTGTACTTTGGCATTGCAGCTGCCTGTTTTAGACTGGGATGGAGAATTCCCAAGTAGAACCCATAAACAGACATTGCAGGTGTTTACTGCTGGTCAGGTGGATCCACTAAAACAACAGGGCAGAATCCATCTTTAGACTCCGTTTCTTGTTGTGTCATTTTTCTATTCATGTAAACTTGAGTTTAGCTATTTTTTTCCTGTTTGCAATGGTTATAAATGGAATTTATGTGTAATAAAAGATGCTGTCCACAAGCATAAAAGAACAACTGATAATTCATGATTTTTATTTCTGTGACTTCTCACTTCCAGAATACCTATTTGACAAAATGTGAGTCATATACATTGGCTTGGATGGATATTCTTAGCTCTGATTTGTACAGTGAGATGTAAATAATCAGTAAATTAAATGAAAATATTCTCTGTGAATTACTGCCTCCCCTCTCTTCCTTTCCCCCCCTCCTTCCCTTCCTTCTGCTTTAACTCACCAGTGTTCAAAGCCATGATGCCATTGCCTGCCAACCTGAAAACATGCTGCTCACCTTCTCCAGCAGCAGCATTTCATTCAGGACCACTAGCAGACACGAAGATTGAAGCTGCCCATGACTTTCTGCAAAAACAACACGGTATCAGGACTAGTTACAAGCAACGGGGCATTTAATTTTACATCTCTGCTAAAAAACATACTTCCCGCCCCAGGCTTCAACTGTGAGATGGACAGCTGAGATGGACACTTGCAACATTCTTTAATATCACTTTGTTTTCCTGCAGAAGCCTCTGCAAGGTACTGGCCAAAGCTCTGCTTTTGATAGATGGGCCTCAAAAGGCAGATTTGCATCCTGCTCACTCTAAAAATCACAAAATATCTGTGTGAGGAAGGATGTGTGCCAGTGGGCCCCTGACAGCTGAGTGCAACCACAGGTAGCTGTGATCACCCGATGAGAACATGAATTTTGTCGGATCTTGCTGAGCTGGTTGGGTCTTGCCTGCTACATGTGATGGTCTCATTAACACCTACTGACAGATGTTTTCCTCTCAGTTTGGCCAGAGGTGCCTGCTTGTCAATAGGCAACACTGAGCGGAGACGTGTGTCAGCTTTTGGCAATTTTATGCAGTTTGGCTCCAGAAGGATTAAACTCTGCTCTAACACAAAGTAAGGCAACCTTGTGCAATTGTGTAGAGCAGTGTTAGATTAAAAAAATCTGTGCACTGAGGCTTTGTAAAGCGGATATTTGTCAGTTTTCATAGAGCAGAAACAGTGAAGGCAGTAGATTGCTTCTGTGCATCCCTTCTCCTCACTTACCAGTCACCCCAGACAGAGCACTGCTTACACATGGAAGGCAAGAAGCTCTTCTCTAAAAAGCAAAGTTTGGGATGAGCTTATCCATGGTCTGACTTTTCCTACTGCACAGCCTGCTCTCCTGGCACCTCCTGTCCCTTGCCTCAGCTCACCCTTGTTCACAGTTCCATGATGCCAGTCTCCTGCACTCAAGTTTATCCAGCTGGGTTCGTTTAGAAGGATGGGGAGTATTAAAATACAGGCTTTTTCTAGATGCAAACTGTACCACTCTGTCTTAAAATGACACACAGGCATTTAATAATTCACATGAATGATTTTTCCCTGCACAAGAATCCAGGTCTGTCACTGACACAATGTACTGGATTTGTGTGGCAAGGCACTACAGGGGTGGCTTCTGTGAGAAACTGCCAGAAGCTTTCCCTGTGTCTGACAGAGCCAACACGAGCTGGCTCTGAGATGGACCCAACACTGGCCAAGGCCGAGCCCAACAGCCACAATGGTAGCCCTTCTGGGATAACTTATTCAAGAAAGGAAAAAAATCCTGTTCAGTTCAGAATAAGAGCAGTGGAAGAGGACTCAGAACATGTGTCACCTCTGCAGACACCAAGGTCAGCGAGGAAGGAGTGGGAGGAGGTGCTCCAGGAGCCAGAGCAGAGATGCCTCTGCAGCCTGAGGTGCAGCCTGTGGGGAGGCAGCTGTGTCCCTGCAGCCCATGGAGGTCCACAGGAGAGCAGGGATCAACTTGCAGCCCCTGGAGGAGCCCTCGCTGGAGCAGGGGGATGCTCAAAGGGAATCCATGGGAAACCTGTGCTGGAGCAGGCTCCTGTCAGGACCTGCAGATCCATGGGGAGAGGAGCCTATGCTGGAGAAGGTTTGATGGCAGGACTTGTGACCC